CCCCCCCCCCCGTGCTGCTGTCTCTATGGGGAGCAGGTCGCACAGCAGAGCCGGTGCTGGGGGAAGAGAGGAAACCAGCTTTTAAGCTGGCTCCCTCTCCAGCACTAGCTCCTGCTTCCCCTGCCCTTGATGCCTCTGATACAAAAGCATTGGGGAAGGGGGGGAAAATGCAAGTAATCAACTAGGTTAACCAATAAACCTAGGCTTATTGGTTAATCAACTAGTCAATTACTCTTCTAACTAGGGATGTAAACATCAATATCAGCAATACCATTTGTCCCATACCCAGGTCTAAAACCTGAGTTATAGGGGGCAGGGGGGAGGAAATCATGAAAAATCAGAACTGCAGGTACTACCAGTTTCTGTTTTACAACCTTTCCAACATATTTTCCTTCCATTAGCCACACCAAACCTAGTCAACATAAAGCTGAAACTCAATATGCAACATAGAGCATAAAACAAAAAAAACCCAAAAGCAATTAAGCTTACTTGCTTTTCTGACACTGGCAGCTCTTTCCAAGCATGTGCAATTTTTTTTGCTATCTCCACAACACTTACATCTGTAAAACAAAACAAAATTTTAACTTAGTAGTTTATTAGGAAGATAGTAATTAAAACAGGTTCAATTTCCTGATTTAAATGTTTTTCCAGTTTTCTTCAGGCATTTGCTACTGATATTTTTCTGCCACACATACTTTTTCTATAAAATTTGTCCTAGTGTACCACTGAGAGAAACCAAACAAAAGTCATTTTATTCACCTGATCGTTCATTCCTAACAGCTTACATGTCACTATAGAATGTTTTAGAGACATAAGCCTAATTTCTTTTTCTTTCTTTACTCTGTACAGGCAGTCCCCGGGTTACGTACAAGATAGGGACTGTAGGTTTGTTCTTAAGTTGAATTTGTATGTAAGTCGGAACTGGTACATATTGTAGGGGAAACTCTAGCCAAACATTTCTCCAGAGCTCAGTTTTATTCTCCCACACCTCACTTCCCTCAGTCCTTTATTCTCAAGCTGAGGAGTCTTCTGAGAAAAGCCGCTCCACGTCTCCCTGGTCTGCTGAGGGGGGCACTAGCTTCGCGTCTCCCTGGTCTGCTGGGGGGAAGCAGCTAGTGCGGGGTTGCCTCACCCCGTTTGTAAGTAGGGATCCGATGTAAGTCGGATCCATGTAACCCGGGGACTGTCTGTATAAAAAAACTTGAAAAAAATCTGCTTGCTTTTTGTTTTGGTTTTTTACTTAGAAATACAAGGAAAGTGAAGTCTCAACTTCCCTCATTTTGCCAGAGGATCTGCTGGAATAAAACAGGTATACATTCAGCTTTATACCTTAACTGAAAAAGAAACAGTGCTGAATCATCAAATGGCAAGTACTGAGCCTAAAATGCCAATTATTGAAGTTCAACTTATTTAACAATTAACCCCCAATTTTTCCCTCAACTGATTTAAACAGTCTTCCTAAAATGTCCTTCCTTTCTTAATTAGCCTTCGCACCTTACTTCTGGTAATACTGTTTCACAAATTCTTCCATAAGCAAGTTTTTCAGGTCAAACAAGACTTGAATTTGTAAGATAGAATCAGGTTTTCAAGGGTTTCTTCACAGATCCTAACCTACGTCCAACACTGGGAAGGTTTGGCGACAAAAGTGCTGTTGACATGCAAAAGTCGTCAAAAGTAAAAAATGGTCAACATTTTTTTTGCTTCCCGTTGTTGACAATATGGGGCCACATTGCTAGCTTCCCTGTCAACAGATAGAGCAAAGCAATGTGAGTAAGTATCCCACAGTGCAGTGTTGTGGGAAAGTAGAGCTGATGCCTGTGCTTCTTGGGATTCCCTCATAGCTCTGAGCTGAGGAATGTCAAAGCAGAACAGCAGTCTCTCCAGCCCTCCTACAGCAACAGAAGAGAAGCATTCCAATGATTTGTTTTTTGTTTATTCCCCAATGGAGCAGCTCACTGAGCTGTCAGATACTTCCCAGAGTTTAGAAAGGGGAGGGATGCATGCCTGCAGGACAGCAGAGATCGCAAAACACTGAACACAGCCATCAGGGCAGGCATTGTGGGAAGCCAGTTCTCTAAACAGCAGAGTCCAAATTGTCTCTTTCAACAATAAAGGGAGGGGAAAAGAAACGTCTCTCACAGGATGGAAGTTTTTTTGTTGCCAAAAACTGGGTATTTTTCCCCAACAAAAGTCCCCTGGTAATGTAAATATTTTCACTGTTTTGTCACCAAAAGGCAGGTTTTGGCGACAAACCATGCTAATGTAGACAAGAAGTAGTGAGGGAAAGGGCATAGGCTCAATTTCCTTCGCCCCCCTTTCCCCCAACCACTCTTTGCAGGTCACCTTTCCAAAAATGATAGTTCCACTTGTCTGCTACTGACATTACTGAACCTAAGCATTTAGTAAGTAATCCAGGTTCAGAAGTAAAGGAAAACAAGTCAGACCTAGCATACATTGGTCAACCTCTCCTTTCACACTCCACTCAACAATTCCAGACTTTGCCATGGGCTATTAGCTTTTAGGAAAAAAGAAGAGTAGCTTTATCAAGATGACGAAGAATACTACTTTTTCAGATCTACAAAAAACTGTGTGCTCATGGGATGTAATATACTAATTTGTAGTCTAGTCACAGGAAGACATCATGTGCTTTAATTGGACAAAAGTCTCAGAAAGGTATCCATGTTAGTATGTAATTGTAAAAACAAGTATCTTAAAGACTAGGACCAGGTCTATATTAGACCCAGAAGATTGGCTTAAGGTACACAACTCCAGCTATGTAAATAATGTAGCTGCAGTCAACATACCCCCGTAGCAGCCAGAACAGACTACACCAGCCAGTAGAATAGAGAGAGTTTGTTGCTTCTCCAGGATACAGCACAGCCGTGATGTGGTTACAGGAGTCAGGGCCAGAGTACCTCAGACCCCTTGGGTTAGGGGATCCATCGCCCCCTCAACCCTCAGCTTAGTCTGTTCCCTTCATGTTTCCCAGCCAGAAACTGCCTCCCTCCCAGACTCTGCCCCCCAGCCAGGTGGCCATCTCCGCCTCTCTTCTCTGTCTCTCCCTCTGGGAAGAGACTTGTTATCTGCCCAAGCTGGGACTAGGTGTCTGAGCCAATACAAATGTAGGTGAGGTCAGTGGGAATCACACATCACAGCACAGGGGACCCCAGGTTACTGAGCAGACAGCACTCCCACTATCTCACATCTGTAAACAGAACTGCCAACATATCTTAACTAATTAATATGACAATGATTTCATAAACAGTGATTTTATGTACATTTCTAATTAGTCTGTGAAACAAAAACATTTATTCTAATGCCAAGTTCTTTAGAAAGTTCCTTACCTGGATTTTGTTTTCTAAAAATGGGTTGCTGATCTTTTACAAAACGAAAATAGGCTGTTAAGGGTCGCTTTGGAGCATTATCTGAACTGATGTGCTTTGAAAACCACTTCTCCACTGAGTATGTAGTACTGCATCTTTAACACAGGCAAAGTCATATGGTATTAAAACTACATCAGTATGGAAACTCAGCTGTAAATTAAACTTCACACTAACTAACGGGACTGTTAGTTTAAAGCCCAATGGAAAGCAGTTATTTCAGATACTCGTTACCAGACTCAACCCATTAGAAACATTCACAGCCCACCATATTCCCAGCCAAAATGCCCAGGAGCGCGCCTCCGGAGACAGCCCCGCACTTGTAACCAGGCTTGGATCAGTGGAAGGCTGAAGGCTTCTCTCAGCCCCCTCCAGGCCACGCTGCCCCCTACGAGCACAGAGGGCTACAGGGAGGGATGGGCGGAGGGTGCTGCGCCCGGGGAGGGCCCGCGGCGCTGCCGACAGGGGCAGAGGGGGCGAGGGGGGGCGGGGGCGGACTG